AAAAAAAAAAAAAAAAAAATTTTTTATGGGGGAAAATGGGCTTAGACCTCAGTTTTTGTGGAAAAGTATGTAAGTTTAGGAAGACTTTCAAAATTTATTAATACTATTATATCAAAATGCCAGAGATTGAAAAAAAAAAAAAAAAAAAAAAAAAAGTATTTCTTACTGGGTGACATGATTAGGTTCAAATTTTGGTTTAGTAATCACAAAATTATTAGGCAAATATGTTGATTTTTTGATCTCCTTTAGAGGCTGTTATTGGAATCTAAGATGATCTTATAAAAAAAACCCAGAGCCAGATATCAGGGTGAAAGCTGAAAGATCAGAGAAGCAGAGCAGCCAGCCACTAGTTCTTAACTCTGAAACCCTCAGCCTAAAGAGAGTGAGTTCCTGTTTCCTCATGCCTTATATACCTTTCTCTGCCCTGCCATATTACTTCCTGGGATTAAAGACATTTGTGCTTCCCAAGCAAAGGCATGAGATCTTAAGTGCTGGGATTAAAGGTGTGTGCCACCATTGCCTGGCTCTGTGTCTAATTGAATGGTTGGCTCTGTCTTTAGATCCTCAGGCAAGTTATTAGAGTATACAATACATCACCACAAAAGACCTGATGCAGATAAAAGCATTGTTACAATAAAAAAGAATGAAGTTCACATATTTAACATGAAACCTGGGGTTTGATTTTTGCTGCAATAATTCTCCATACTGGTTCAAATACCCAAGAAAAACTTCTCTTTGCAACAGATGGACCATGACAGAAGGCCACAACTAATCAAAATGCAGAATTGTGGAGCCCAGTCCCAACAGATACGTCTATAAAACACTTCCACACTGAAGGCTTAGGGAATGCTGCAGAAAAATTGTAAGAGCCAGAGTGTCAGAAGTTTGCCATGAGACTGTGTCTCCTAGGAATGTCAAAAGCTACGTCTATAAAGGCTCACCAACATGGCTGCCTAAACATCACCTGAACAAGGACAACAACAGACATGCCAGCATGGACAAGGGAAAGCCCAGGAGGCCTCAATCCTACACAAAGAACTAAGGCAACTAAGGAATGCTGAGAGCAGGTGAAACAGTCTTCCCCAGGGAAGAACTTACCAAATCATTATCCAATACCAAATGGTCAGCCCTGAAAACGTACGTACAAGTAACACCATACAGACCTAACAGGTTGTATATGTGTATTTAGGAATATGTATGTATGTACATAGACACATATGCATTGCATGCAGCAACAATTAATGAAAAAGGAGGTCATGAATTTGAAAAAGAGCAAGGAGGGGTATATGAGAGGTTTTGGGGGGAGATAAGAGAAGGGGGGACATAGTATAGTTAAATTATGATGTCAAAATAGAAGTAATAATAAGTAAATGAGTATTCTATTTTCAAATACAATTTTAAAAAAGTCTGTCCTTGTTTGTTTGTTTTTGTTTTTTTTTAAGACAGGGTTTCTCAGTGTAGCCTGGAAGGTCCGGGAACTAGCTCTGTATACCAGGTTGACCTTGAGCTCACAGAGATCTGTCTGCCTCTGCCTCCCAGGTGCTGGGATTAAAGGTGTGCACTGTTGGCTGCCTTGTTTGTTTTTGTCTTTGTCTTTTTGGCGCTGGCTAGATCAGAAAGCACTTGATTATCCTAAGTCAAAAAGGCTGAAAACCACAACCAAATGCTGGTGACTTCTCTGCAAGAGGCCAGCTGCTCTGTTGTCATGGAAACTCAGAACTGTCAAGGGCTCAGACCATCTTCTGGAGTGAAGAAGATGGTTTCTGCTCAGCGTTCTTCCCTTTCACCCGTCAAGTTCTTGTGCTGGCCTCCGAATTCTCCTGAGCTGTGTTCTCTTCCCCGTCTCTGATGGCTTCCAATGTGGGCAGGCTCTCCCTCCCTTTCCAGGTCGACGATCAGTTGAAACACCCCCAAATTTCTTTGTGACTCGTTTTTTTCCCTAAAGATTTGATTTCTTTTGCATTTAAGAATCTATCACTTGAATTAAAAAGCTTTTCCCCTTGACTCTCATAGAACACATTTAACTGAAAAAAAATGTGATTTCTAAAATACTTTCTAAACAGAATTGTGTTGCAGCCACCATCCTTAGCAAATATTAACAAAGCCCGACCTCCTCATTTCTTGAAAAGACCCCCTTTGAAGAGCCAAACACCCTGTAGAGAACTTTCCCTCTCAAGGCTCTGGGTATAGAAGCTGAAGATGGATCCTTCAGCTTTGTTTAATAAAGTTGACCATTTTGATTTCATCATTCCGATATTTTTCATTTCATGCCGGAGAGTTTTTTCATGGCAGTGGTTCTCTGGGGAGTAATCAGTGAGCTGTCTATGAATTTTCTTAGGGCACCATCCACACAGATGCCAGTGCAGCCCTTGTAGTAAATAAACTTTCTGTTCTCAGATATGAAAATAAACATCAAATTATCTTAAACTCTGCTTTTTTTGGACAGACTCTTAAAATGGTAAAACGAGCGGCACTGCATGGCATCTATGGGTGAAATTTGTTCTACGCCAGCCTTGGCTGAGAAGATATTTTCAAGGTTATTATTATAACATATTATTGGTATCAAGAGACATGTCATCAGTACTTTAACATTCATGATGGCCGAGATGGCGACTTCTTTAGTTAACTTGGATGGAATCCGGTACTGGTGTTTTCTAAATAATTACCTCAGTGATAGCCTCAGCAAGTATGTAATTTTTCCCTTCCTGAGCAATATATTATACTCGAACAACTCCTATTTAACAAGCTCTTTAAGCCTTTTCATTGGGTGTGGCTGTTTCATTAACACAATCTTCATTCTGCTGGTTTGAGATTCAAACTGCTTTTTTCAAATAAATAGCACCTTCCCGGATATGGAGGCACATCCCTGTTAGCATCTGGAAAATGGGAGCAGGAAGATCAGGAGTTCAAGGCCAGTCTTGGCTTCCTAGTGAGTTCAAGGGCAGCCTGGACCCAAACAATGAGATAAACACACATAGACATACTAGAGGAAGACTCAACATTTTTGCTTGTGAAATGACTGTGAGTTAAGCATCCTTTTAGTTTTGCTAATTCTGCCATTTGTTTTCCACTGAGTGTGCCTGGTGGAATAGGACAATGAGATGGACTATTCCAGGCATGGGTAAGCAGCTTTCATTGCAAAGATGACCCTCTGGCTGCTTGGTTGCATTGGTTTGGTAGATTGACTCAGAGCATTGACATTCCATATCACTGAGCATATCATACCTGTCCATGAGTCTATGCTTAGGATCTTTCTCTATCCTATATCCAGTGTTCTGAGGTAAGCATATTGTGCTGTAAGACATGTTTATGAAAAACAAAATTAAATGGAGAGGAATAATAAACTGGAAATTTTTAAAGGTGCCTAACTCAGCAATACAATACAATTCATTTTTAACTTATATGGTTCATATTTTGTATCATTTGCCAAAGAGCAAAAATCAAGGCTAGGCATGGTGGCACATGCTGCCTTTCATTCCAGCACTGGATAGGTCAAAGTCAGGTGGATCTCTTAAGCTTGAGGCCAGCTTGGTCTTCATAGTGAGTTCAGGTGTTCTGAATCACCAGAGTCCCTGAGAGGGTGTTCCTCATCTACCACGAAGTCCAATCAACTCTTCATTTTGTGCCAATTAAATGATTCCTAAGATGCTGCTCTGTGAGATGCCATCTCAAAACAGGAACGACCAAACAAAAGAAATCAACCAAGCAGCAGGGGTGAGACTCATCTTAGTGTGTGTGTGTGGGGTATATACCTTAGACTGAAAATATCCTTAGTTTTTTGTTTTTTGTTTTTTTTTTTGTTTGTTTGTTTTTTTTTTTTTTCTTCGAGACAGGGTTTCTTTGTGTAGCTTTGCGCCTTTCCTGGAACTCACTTGGTAGCCCAGGCTGGCCTCGAACTCACAGAGATCCGCCTGTCTCTGCCTCCCGAGTGCTGGGATTAAAGGCGTGCGCCACCACCGCCCGGCATCCTTAGTTTTTATTACACTGATTGGGCTTATTTGCATCCTTAGTTGGCTGGCTATGCATAAAAGGAGGTCGGAAATGTATAGAAAAGTTTGTGGGTATTTAAGGACTGAGAACAGACATCCCCAGATGCTTAGTGTCCAATGCACTGGTGTAAGGTGTGGGAAACTCTCTAACACATTCACTAAAAGGAATATCTATTCACAGGCCATGCGCAGGATGTGGGGAAATTGATGTTTAATATCTTTTCAGTTGCTATTCCTCAGGGAAGCCCTCCTGACGTTTCACAGACCCTACAGACTGCAGAACTTTTTATGAGACCATCTGATTCACTCTCACGGCCTCACTGATCATCTTTCTGGACATATACAATCTCTGTGTGGAAAGTTCACAGGGACAGCCCACTTGGTGTGCCTGAGTGCAAGTGCCCGAGTGCAAATCCCTGAGTGTGTTGCTCTGCTCACTTCCCTATCACCACAACAGGAAAACTATGAGTCCTGTCCAGATTTGCCAGTCTCAGGAAATGATAGTAATGTCCATAAATTGTGCACATAAAAAAAAAAAAAACCCTAGGACACTGGTTCTCAACCTTCCTAATGCTGCAACCCTTTAATACAGTTTGTCATGTTGTGCTGACCCCCAACCATAAAATTATTTTTGTTGCTGCTTATAACTGTAATTTTGCTACTATTGTGAACCGCAATGTAAACTCTGTGTTTTCTGATGGTCTTAGTTGTGGAAGGGTCACGCGACAACCCCAAAGGGGTCGCGAGATGAAGGTTGAGAACCTCTGTCCTAGGGGTTGCTCTGCTGTTTTTGCTTCTGTGATAGGATGGCTTACCCTCCTTTACTCTCCCAGCTTCAGCCACCCTCCAGTATTTATTCAGCTTCGATTCCCGTCACTTCAGTTTTCTGACCTCACTGAGGTGAGGGCCTTTCCTTTCCCCATTCCACCCACTCCTAGTCAAACTAGTCTGTTGTTCGAATCTAAGATGGTCTTATAATTAAAAAACCCAGTAGCAGATATTGGGGTAAAAGTTGAAAGACAGAGAAGCAGAACAAGCTGCACCCACCATCTATCACCTCACCAACTCCACGAATCCTCTGACTGAAACACTGAGTCTTCACCCGAAAGGGTCTCAGCTGAACTGCCTTAGTTCCTGTTTCCTCAGCCTTATATACTTTTCTCTGCCCTGCAGTCACTTCCTGGGATTAAAGGTGTGTGTGCTTCCCAGTACTGGGATTAAAGGTGTGTGCCACCACTGCCTGGCTCTGTTTCCAGTGTAGCCTTGAACTCTGCCTCTGGAGTGATAGGGTTAAGGGTGTGTGCCACCACTGTCTCTATAGTCCAATCCTCAGGCAAGTTTGTTAGGGTACCCAATATATCACCACACGAGTCTTCATTTGTTCTGAATCACCAGAGTCCCCGAGAGGGTGTTCCTCATCTACCACGAAGTCAGTCCAATCAACTCTTCATTTTGTGCTAATTAAATGATTCCTAAGATGCAAACTCTTATCAGAACACCCTTGCCCGAGTTTGCTTTATTTATGTCTCTTAAGAGCCAAATCAAAATCTCTAATCAGAACTGTGGTGGCTGCCTGTGATCTTGCCTCTGCTGACTGCTCATCGGCCTGGCGTGGTTCTGACTCCTCCGCTTGCCTGGAAGAGTTGTTCTCCCCATGGATGGATGGACCTCATTGCAAGAGGCTCCCTGCAGTCTCAGGACTGCTGCACTGTTTCTAGGCCAGGCACTCTACCTTCCTCTCACTTCCCCTTCATTTCCAAAGAAGCTGGGAGTTCTTCAGTACAATATTCTTCATCCTAATTTCATGACAACTCCAAGTATCAAGTTGACGGAATCATTGGTTGGATATTATCTAGCTTAAAAACTCGTGGTTGCTCTTGGAAACCTGGGAACGCACTTCACCTCCAGCATTAACACGAGGTAGAAATAATTGATATGATGAATGTTTAAATAAATGATTACTTAACCATTTTACTCCATTCATACTATAGTTCTCAAGTTTAAGAATAAAATAAAATCACCACAGTAATTACATAAAAGAAATATAGATTTCTATTTTAGTTATTTTGTTAATTTGACTTTTACTACAAGCAAATTTTGTAATATTTGAAACACTTTCTAACTACGCCCATCTTACCATCTCATGCCTACATTTTATGTGATTAAGATGAAGTTCTGAAAGAGCTACAGTGCAGTAGCCAAAACAATGGTATTAGAATTATAAAATTGTTATCTGTAGCTTGAGTTTATTAGCATGAAAACTGGCACTTGTAGGAACATATAAAATATTGATTTGAGATAGCACTGTATATTTTAGTGCCTACTAAGCATAGGAGGGCATGGTTTTGAAATTATAAAGATAATACAAAGGTCGCTTTATGGTTTTATTTTTTCATATTATTGGAAGATATTTTGAAGTCAGTATTTTCTATAAAAATACCTAAATGTATAATTTTAATAAATTTATCTGCCCAATTTACTGTTTATTTTTGTTTGGGTTTGGAGACAAACCAGAAGGAATATGAACTTAGCTCTTTCCTCCCGGGATCCAAGAATGCACCATTCAAATTGAGTCAGCATATCCACGTGAAAATGGACTGTTCATCCAGAGGACACGGATGTTCCTTTTGGCTTCAGTCCTTCCAGACTGGATACATATCAAGATTTCTTCAGTGTTGTTACTGTTAATTATTAGTTCTGGTAAAAGTTAAGAAATAGTGTTATTCTAGCTTGAAATCCCTCAGGCTGACCAGTCATCTCAAAATAAACGTTAAGATTTGAACAACAACAATTTTAAATTCGAAAATTTAAAACTAATTCGTAGGCTAGGGAGATAGAAGCAGGTATGAGAAATGGAATTAAAATTTCTAATGTCCTACTTAAATTCCAGGAAGGCATGTTAGCCTGCCTGTGATTCTATTTCTCAGACAGTAGAGGCAGGAACCACCCAAGAAAACTGGGTAGGTAGACTAGCCTGATCAGTGATCTCTGTGTGAAATCAAGAGACACTGTCCTCTGTTGTTTGAATCTTAGATGGTCTTTAATTAAAAAACCCAGATCCAGATATAAGGGTAAAAGCTGAAAGATCAGAGAAGCAGAACAGCCAGCCACTAGTCTTACCTCTGAAATCCTCAACCTAAAGAGAGAGAGTTCCTGTTTCCTCATGCCTAATATACCTTTCTGTGCCCTTATATATTACTTCCTGGGATTAAAGACATTTGTGCTTCCCAAGCAAAGGCATGAGATCTCAAGTGCTGAGATTAAAGGTGTGCCACCACTGCCTTACCTCTATGTCTAATCTAGTGGCTGGTTCTGTCTCTGATCCTCAGGTAAGTTTATTAGGGTACATAATATATCACCATATTTCTCCTTTTTTTGTCTAAAATAATAAAAGAAGGTTATAACTAATATAAGAAAAACTATATACAATAAGTATATACAATATATATAGTCAATTACATTAACAATGTTCAATTAACCTTTGACAGATTCAGAAAAAAGTCCAAAATGTTGTACCCAATTCACTTTCTATCCTAACTTGTATTACCAACTGAAAACTATCTTTTGATGTCTTTCAAACTTATACACTTTACACCTCTTCAGTGAGTTTCTTTTCTGAATTTGTTAACAAGGAAAACTATAACTATTTAATCTTCAACTCCCTCAGAAACCCAAGAAGGAAATAATATTACCTAAGCAAACGGAAGTGCAAACAAGCAACTTTGAAAAAAATGTGATAAATGACAACAGCCGGCTGCCTGGACAGTCATCAGAGGTTCCTATGCAACACTGGGGCATCCTTCTTTGGCCTACAGGCCTAGCATATCTGACAGACACATCTGTGAAGCAGGATTTTCTAAAGAGCCTTCCTACCTTGTCTTGGCAAGGATCGGCAGTCTTTTCCTTTGTGTCCTGCTTGTCCACTTTGGACAGCATACTGTCAGCAGTCAAGGCAAGGGCACTTTCTTGCCCAGTGGCTAACTTTTGCCACAGTGAAAGTAAACTCCATACGGAGGTTCTTCGATGCCCATCATCTTCTCTGAAGAAGATTGGTGCTGCCAGGAGCAGACATGTCTCATTGTCATTAAAAAAAGAAAAAAAACCCATGTTATTAAAATATTTTAAATGCCATATTCTGTAGATCTCTGAAGTGTTTGAAGATGACCTGTATATCTAAGATATATCTCTGTTTGACCTTGAAAACATACCTAACATGACTACAAGTTTGATTATAATAGGTGACTAACTACTAATTTGCATTTCTTTATATCCTAGTTAGTTGGTCATAATAACTTTCAAGGGCTAGCAATTTGCATTACATTGTTAAATGAGCTGTATAGTTACAATATCTTGAACAAGATTAGAAATATATGTATAGTATTTTCTAATAAATTAATCTCAAATTTGTATCAGTATATACAATTTATATACAATATACAAAAATCCAATCCAATGTAAAATATTTAAAACTAGTAGTTGCTTTCTAAACGTAGATTCAATAATCTACCTTTTTATGTTATCATATCCGTATTCTCTTTATTTTCTTTTCAGAGTAAATTCAACAATCTACCCTTTATCCATCATTTTTATATCTCTTTTTCAGAGTAGATTCAATAATCTACCTTTTATCCATCATTTCTATATCTTTTTTTCTCAGAGTAGATTCTATAATATACCTTTTATCTTATATCTATATCCTCTTTTTTCTTTTTTCTTTTATAAAACAAGAACCTTAAATCTAACCTCCTTTGTTTAGCCTTTTTCCTGACCATTAACAATAAGAACTTGTAACCAACCATCCTAAAGAATGACAATTATCCATAACCCATTGAATGAACCAAAATCCACCTACCCTATTACCCCTTGGGAATGTGGGCATCATGTTCTTAAAATTACTTCCTGCTGTCTGGGGGTGAAGGCATCTTTAGAGGTTCCTGAAAGAAATTTTTGGGGTTAATTGTCAAGTCCTGGGAGAGGTAGCTATATCATTTGTTGTCCAGTCTCTGCATAATGGGAAAGTGCAGGGCTTGTCTCAAGTCCTTGCTTGAGCAGTCTATGAGACTGGATCATTTCATCTAGCCATCTTGAAATTGTCCTGAGCAGTTTGTAGTCCAAAGCCAATCTTTGGGTGGTGTTTGCCATCTTAGTGGTATTATCCTGATGGAATCATCATTGTGGGGCCCCATCATCTTTTTGGAAACTTCAAAGTCACTATTAGGCATGGTCATGATTCACTGCAGAAAACTAATAGAGACTGAAACCCCAAAAATCATGTACAAGAAGCTAGATGAAGCCTTTTTTCTAGAATTAATTAATACTCTATATGACCATTAATATCATGACAAAAGTTTAATATATATATGTATATATATTATAAATTTTGATAAAATTCATACTAAGAAAAGTTTTATAGAGTCAAAACAACACCAAAGAATTATGGGGTTTTTAATAGCAATAGAATAGTCCCTTAATTTTGGTTTTTCTTTTGTCCCAAATCAGGTGGCTCTTCTGACATGAAACAGAGATTTTGAATTTTCCTTTTAATAAACATGCTTGTGTTTAGAGAAGTAAAGAGCCACACTCCAACTCCAAAGCCAGTTTTAATTTTTAATTGAACTGGGACTATATAAAGACCATTTGCATTATGTATTGGTGAAATTATTAAGGCCACTCCATGTAGTTAAAAGGGAGGTTTGTTTAGTGGCGTAATGAAGGGATAGGTAGGTTGCAGGGTCTGAGGAAGACATAACACAGTCCGGTGGTGTTCTCTGGAGAAATCTGCTCGGTCTACCCCAGCATCCAGGGTCCAGAAACCAAGAGAAGGCGGCGCATCTGTATCTTGGGTCTTCAGGGCCCTCAGGGTCCTCTCTCGGCCCTGCCTTGTAGGCGTGACAGTTACTAAAGCCTCAATGGGGGTTGGAACTTCCAGATCAAATCTGGAATGGCTACCCACTACAATTATGTGTCTGTAGAGAACAGCAGAAAAAAACATTTAGGAAGACTTATGAAACTTTATCCTGTTAGATATATAATATACCAATAGGCCAATTTTCTTTTTCTTGGACATTTCTTCTGGATGATTTGTCCTTTTCCTCAGATGTCTCATTTGTCCAGTGTTCTTCAGATTCCTTAGCCTTCATTCTCCTGAAAGACAAAAAATAAAACCCTTCCCTAAACCTAACTTTGGGAAGGTTCCTTTTTGGCAAGTTCTATCTGATTAATTGAAGAGCTTTTGTTAGTGGTATAAATTAGTTTAAATAGAATGATCATGCTGGTTGGTGAACTATCACCTCTTCTAATTAAGAGGTCTCTCTTGTTCAGATTGAAACCTTATCAATTTTGATGGTATCCATAGCTTTTCTTCTCCTGTGGAAACAAAAGCAAAATCTCATCCTCAATGTAACATATATACTGGCTTCCATTCTGAGGTCAGCACATCTTTAAAGTATATAGGCTGATTTAATTCTTTATTTTTTTCTATTATCCAATGTCTCTCTGCAGCTGTTGTTCCTTTCTCATTAGCATTGAGAAAATTCAAAGTTAATGAAGTGTTATGTAATCTATTTCTGGGGTTTTTTGTTACCTCTTTCTGTTTTTTTAACATATCCTTTAGAGTTCTGTTTGATCTTTCTATAACTGCTTGGCCTGTAGGATTATGTGGTAT